GCGGGTGGAGCGAGCAGTTATGGCTGCTCTCAGTCCGGCCCCAGGGGCTCTGCTTCTCAGAGTCCCAGCACTGCAAACCTCGAAGAGAAAGCTGCCTTCGGGTTCCGACTGAAGCCAGACAGTCCCGCTTCTCCGTTTGAGTCTGGGTCCCTAGAGACTCGCCCGGATCTGGAGCTCAGAATCTGAGACTCCCTCCCGATTGAAAACGAGAACCACGCCCTCAGCTACCAGCCCGCTCTGCGCGTACCTCCGCACCTTTGCTTTGTATTTACTGCGCCTCCTCCGAGTCTCGTATGCTGTTCTCTTTCCTTCTAGTTGAAGAATTTCCCCTCAGCCAGTCTTCCTGTGGTTCTGGGTGATGTCCGTTCCATCTTTTAGTTGTATTTTGAAGTGGTTGTTCGAGGCAGCTAACTCCGGTGTTTACCTATGCCGCCCTCTTGGTTTCTCTCTGTGTCTTTGCTTAAGCTGAAGTTGACACCTTCCAACATCACTTGGCTTTTATTTTGCAGAATGATCTTGAGTATTGGATCTCTGTGGCCTTTACACAAGACTATGTATATGAACCAATTTATAATTTATTTGGATTGAAGGAAGAACTGTACTTGACAGTACATCGTATGGTTGTATGCCTCTCTATATATCTGTGGAGGCAAATTTTATGATGTCTAGGATTTAAGCTCCGAGGTTTAAAACTGGATGCAAATAGTATATATTCAACATGTAAATCAAGTGAACATCTGAATCTTTTTCAAAAAATCTTTATTTTTGAGAGTATTGCAGATGCCCTCCCCCCATTACTCCTCTCCACCCAGTTCCTGCCCTGCCCCAGGCCTTCACCAACCTATTGTCTGTGTTCATAGGTTATGCATATATGTATTTAAGATCTTTGATTAAACTCTTCCCACTGCCCCTCCTCCCTCCCTCTGAGATTCATCGGCCAGTATGTTCCATGTTTCCATGCCTCTGATTCTATTTCATTCATCAGCTTATTTTGTTTATTAGATTTCTCGTTCATTTATTTTGATTTTTAGATTCAATTGTTGATAGGTATGTATTTACTGCCATTTTATTATTCATATTTTTAATCTTTTTTCTTCTGTTAATCCTCTTCTTAAAGAATACCCTTCAAAATTTCATGTAATACTGGTTTGGTGGTGATGAGCTCCTTTAACTTTTTCTGAGCTGTGAAGCTCTTTATCTGACCTTCAATTCTAAATGATAGCTTTTCTGGGTAGAATAATCTTGGTTATGGGTTCTTGCTCTTCATCACTTTGAATATTTCTTGCTTTAACCCTTGGTATGTTAATTATGATGTGTCTTGGTGTGGGCCTCTTTGTGTTTCTCTGGGAGTCTCTGTGCTTCCTAGACTTGTAAGTCTATTTCTTTCACCAGGTAGGGGAAGTTTTCTGTCATTATTTCTTCAAATGGGTTTTCAATATCTTACCCTCTCCCTTCTCCTTCTGGCATCCCCATAATGCGAATGTTGGTATAGTTGAAGTTGTTCCAGAGGCTCCTTACACTATCTTCATATTTTTGGATTCTTTTTGCTCTTCTGATTGGGTATTTTTTGCTTCCTCATAGTCCAAATTGTTGATTTGATTCTTGCAATCTTCTACTGTTGAATCCCTGTAAATTATTCTTTATTTCATTTAATGTGTGCTTAATTTCTGACTGGTCTTTTTTCATATCTTTGAAAGTCTCCCTAAGATCCTTGAAAGTTTCACTAAGTCCCTTGAAGCTCTCATTAAGATCCTTGAACAAGCTTATAACCATTGTTTTGAACTCTGTATCCAGTAGTTTCCTTGCTTCCATTTATTTCATTTATGACATGTTTCGTTGTCTCCACATTTGGGCTGCTTCTCTGAGCTTGTTTCTATGTATTAGGTAGAACTGCTATGTCTCCTGAAATTAGGAGAGTGGCCTTGTGTAGTAAGTATCCTGTATGTCCCAGTGGCTTAGCCTCCCCAGTCACCTGAGCGAGGCACTCTAGGTGCACCCCGGTGTGGGCTGTGTGCAGTCTTGTTGTAGTTGAGCCTTGATTGCTGTTGGTGTCACTGGAAGGACTTGACCTCCAAGACAAGTTGCTTGTGGATGTGTAGAGCTGTAATCTGGTATGGCCTGAAGCTGTCTGCAGGGTGAACTGGCTCTGAAGGCTTCCGGAAGTTGCAAAGTCAGCTGCTGCCTGGGGCCACCCGGTAGGAACTACAGAGAGATCTGCAGATGCCTGCTATTTGTATTCAGCTTAGAAATGCCCAGACAAAGCCCAGCTGTGAAGCAGGGCAGGCTGGTGCTAGTGCAAGGTCTTGGGTTTCTTATTGATAGGTGTGGGGCATGCTGATGCTTGCTGATGCTTATTTGAGAGATTTTAGAAAATACTGAAGCCTAAGCCAGGACAGACCATTCATATGGAAAAGAAGCTGAAAACAGCTTGGGTGGAGCTGCAAATTGGATGGGGCTGGGTCTCAGCAGGGCGGAGTGAACATTGAGGTCCACAATGTGGGTCACGCTGTTGGAAACTTAGATATGGCTGCAGGTCAGCTCTGCAATGAGGGAGGTGTCAGCATAGGAACACTAACTCCTGCTAGCACCTCTCTCTGGGAAAAAGCTGCCCCTGAGTTCCTGCCACAATGCCCCTGGCACTGGAACTCAGAGGAAGCAGGACCCTGTAAGTCTGTGTGCCGGCCCTTTAAGAGGAATTGCTGGATCTCCAGCACCCTCCATGTCAGTCAGGCACAATCCCTGCTGATTTTTACAGCCCAGAGTTATGGGGACTTCTCTTCCCAGCTCTGGAGCCCTGGGCTGGGGGGCTGGTGTGGGACGGGGATCCCTTTCTTCTCAGGGGAGGCCTCTGTAGCCAAGATATCACTCCTGATTAAAAAACATGCTGCCATCTTGTTTCTCTCTACCTGATTTTTAATAACAGTTTCCCAACATTCTTTGGATGTGCTCATAAGTCTTCGTGAGAAAAGCAGCTTAAATGAAAGAGCCATTAGAGAAGCAAAGTGCTGATGCTAGAAGGCAGTGACATCTTGTCTGAAATCTGAAACTTTGCTCACGAGGTCCTCCTGCCGGAGATGACGGTGCTGAGATTTAGCACGCGATCTGACAAATTCTTAAGAACCACCCAGGGAAAAAGGCAGTCCAGGCTGTGGTCCCTGGTGTTAGTCTCTCTCTAGCTGCTGCAGAGGAAACCAGACTTCTGTCCTTCAGGGGTGGCAGGTCAAGAGGCTTTTCCAGATGCTTTTGAACTGACAGATACTGAAAATAGCGTCTGATTTCATTTTGCTGTTTTGTTCAACATTTAGCCTGAGGAGTGAAAAGAAAACATAGAGATATATCCATACACGTCTATGTAGATGTAGTATATGTAGGTATAGATATATAACCAGTGTATCTACATCTTCATTTGTGGCCTCCTGATAAGCTTTATTGATCAAGGCAAATAGGCTAATCATGGGGTAAATTCTGGATCAAGTCTCTCTCTATTTAAAAAAAATTTCTTTTAAACCTTTTTATTGATATCAGAGAGGAAGAGAAAGGGAGAGAGAGATAGAAACATCAATGATGAGAGAGAACCATTAACTGGCTGCCTCCTGCACACCCCACACTGGGGGTTGAGCCTGCAACCTGGGCATGTGCTATGACCACGAATCGAACTGTGACCTCCTGGATCATAGCTCAACACTCAACCACTGAGCCATACCAGCCAGGCCAATTTTCTCTTTTTTTATGATATTTTCCAAATTTTTTTCTAGTGAAGAATGTATTCTTACCACACAAGGCAAAAAATTAAATGTATCATCTGTACACCTAAAAATAATATTATATTGAATGTCAACTTTAATTGAAAAACTTAAAAATATTTTTTTAAATGATTTCCTGAAAAAAGTAAAGAAATACATGATCAAAACATAAATAAAGACCAATAAATGTAAGTGACTATGTTTGAGTAGTGGATATATACTTTGAAAATAATAGGGAGCAGTGTTGTGATAAAAAGGTTTTGATACTCTTTGGGCTCTTCTGTGCCCTCCTGGGACCTAATTTTACACTGCTTGTATGATAGTCACCAAACACACACATACACATTATGCTTAATGGGAAGTGATTAAAGCGGTTATCATCTTGTGATAAATCACAAATGTTTTTTGATACATTTGTAAGCCTAAGGCTAGGTGAGAACTACTATTTGAATAAGCAAATATTTAATTTTCATTTTTCTTCAATTAGATTTCATTTAACTAAAAATAAATTTAGCTAATGCTTAGAGCTGAATTTGAGCCTTTTGAGTTATATATAGAACTATAAATTGATTTTTATTTTCCTAGTATCATTTTCAATGATAAAGTCAACATATTTGTATCACATTGTAAAGATAACTTAAAGAATCTCTTTCAGACAATATTTATTTTTTTATCAAATACTTGTGTAGGGCCTAGTATGTGCCAGGCACAGTTCTAAGTGACTTGAAAAATGTGAACTCATTCAAATATAAAAGGTCTAAATTCACCACAAAAATAGCCTCAACATTGTGATTCTTAGACAAAGAAAAAAAAATAGCTTCCTAACTAGAGTTACACAAATTGAGTTTCTCTATTGAAAATTCTATGAATTGACAGGTATCTAATATGTGGAACCTAAAAAAACAAAATAAATGAGCAGATTAGAAACAGACTCATAGATACAGAGAATATTTTGACGGTTGCCAGAGGGGAGGGGAAATGGGGGACTGGGTGAAAAGGGTGAAGAGATTAAGAAGTACAAATTTGTTTTACGGAACAGTCACAGGGATGCACAGTACAGCATAGGGAATATAGTGAATAATATAATAACTATGTATGGTGTCAGATGCATACTAGATTTGTTAGGGTAATTACTTCAAAAATTATATAAATGTCTATTCACTGGGTTGTATACTTGAAACTTACATCAACTATAATTGAAAAGTAAAAAAATATATAAATAATTTCTATTTTCAAAGAGTAATTAGTTTTAAAATTGTATTGGCCTTTCATGGTACACTCCACACTCACTAAAAAACAAACACACCTTCCCTTAGACACTCAATGTCCAGGACACGATTATGACTGAGTTGTGTACAAAGATCCTTGCTGTCTGATGAAATAGTTTTTTAGCTTGCGGCATGTTAAAAGTATAAATATCTCAAGGAGATGAACCACTAAATTATAGATTGTGGGGTTCAAAACTGTGATGTGAAAAAATAAGTTAAAACCAATTCTCATTGATAGTATGTTTTAATGCAATTCAAATCCAGCTCCCGGTTCAAGAAAAACAAATAGTTTTTCAATGACTTTATTTTCTATTCGGTTCAACTCCTTGCTCTTTTTTCTATATAATTAATTTATGAAAACTGCATGCTGCTTACCGTGTGGTCCTGTGCATGTGAAGTACGGTGCCTTTAACCTTTTTACAGAAACATCTCTGTTCATAGATGGAAGAAACGTGTGTTTTCAACCTATGCCTTGTGTTTGTCTGACAATTGTAAAGATAATTTTGAACAGAAATGCTGCTGTTTAGTTTCCACAGTGCCTTCACAACCTGATAATCTGTTTTCCCACCCCGACAAACTCAAAAGGATGAGCAAGTCTGTTCCAGCATTTCTCCAAGATGAGGCAAGTTTATCTTTTGTACCTTCAGAAAAATGGAACCAAATAAGTGCATTTGCTCTGCTCAGGTTGGCGTGTGTGTATTCAGCCGTGGCAGGGACTGGAGGTCAGCAGGACTGACCCTTGCCTTTCATATCAATAAAGTAGTGTTGTTGATCCTGGAACAAGGCAAGGCATGTCTCATTTGACTCAAACAGTAACTCCTTTAGGTAGTGAAGTCAAATTGCATAGATTGGGGAATGTGACTTTTGTTTCAAAGTGGGTACAAAACAAGAAATCTAGGCAGAAATATGTTAGCATGGACTGACAACTCCTCTGTAGTTTAAAGGACAACTGTTTTGTGAAAACTTAGTCTAGGTTGCATGACTCACTTGAACACATTTGTTAAAATAATAAAGTAAAAATGACATAGTGAACTTTAAGGCGATCTATATACATTATCTTATTAATCCTCCAACAACCCTAGAAGGTAGGCAATACCATTATCCCCAGATATTCAGATGGGGAAACAGACTGAGAGAGGAAGTAACCTCATCCAGCAAGAAAGGAGTTGAACTAGGGCTGGAGCCCAGATCTGACTCCCATGCTGTTAACTACTAATATGACTATTATCTACTATTCATTGAGTACCTAGTAAGTGCCAGGCATTTAATATTGAATCTGTTACCTAACTCTCACTAACTAAATGTGGCACTATTTTCTCCATTTTATAAAAGAAGAGGGAGCCTCAGAGAGATTAAATAACTTTCTCAAAATCCAACAGCTACTAAAAAGTAGAACTATAACTTGGGTCCTTTGACTTAATTAAGACTTCAAGTTTTTGTAGCCAGGTAATTCGGAGTCTGAGGTTTGGAGTCAGACATTCCCAGTCCTGGCTGTGCTCTGTGATTATGGACAAGTTCCTTAACTACCCTGAGTCTAGTTTCTTAGTACCTCCCTCATTAAGTTGTGAGGAGTCAGTGAGATAATGTGGGGAAAGTGCACAGCACAGTGCCTGACACATAGTGAGTACCCAACACATATTAGCTATTACTATCAGCAGTTTGGGTCTGATTTCTGATGGAGAAATATAAAACTTCATCCTCATGCATTTTATTCATAGACAGAATATGAGCAAAGCTCTGAACAACACATACATTACACCTTGCCTCCCCCACTTTGTGGGTCTTAGATGAGCTGTATCTGCAAACAGTCAGAGCCCACATTACACTGACTTTGGGAAGAACCACTCATTTTCTAAACCTAATTCATTGGCTGGAAGCCAACGGTAGACACCTCATGGAGTTCCTGGTCTTGATTGGTCATATGAATTAATCATATAATAACTTGAGAGGCAAATAATACCAGTTCCTGGTTTTTGTTTTTTGTCCTTCCTTTAGTTTTAACCTGTTCCTCGGCTCCACACAAAAGAGTCCAAATCATTTGAGTGTGTGCATCGGGCATGCCAAGTTTAGCTGTATCATTTTACCTTTCAAAGGACATGGGGTAGGACGGAATGTTACAGGAAGTGGAGATGAAATCAGGCCTTGCTCTTTTGTCCACAGTCCCTTTGAGGCTTAGCATCAGTGATATGTGTTAAGTGCCAACTATGTGAAAATCCGTGGTCCGGGTCAACAAGACAGGATCCCATCCTTCCAATAATTCACTAATGATCTGATATGCTAGATCAAATGTCGTACATGCTATAATAGAGGGAAATAGACTGTAAGCATGTGGGGGGAGAGTGTGACAACAGAGACATTGAAAAGCTTTGAATTTTTGTTTGATCTTTGAGGTGCTTTTTTTTCTCATCTATATAAGTCATAAGTTTTGTTTTTATTTAACTCCTTTCTTAATCTGCACTATTTGATACATAATTGCATGGCCCTAGAATATGTTGGCATGAACTAACTACTCCATAAAGGTGTTGCCCTAATCCCAGAAGCCACTGAGCTGCCCCATAAACTCTCTGACCCCCAAAGGAGATCATTCTGAATCATGAATTTTTATAAACTACCATCTAATACACTTTAGACCTAAATATAATAAAATTTATTATTGCCACTTTTCTTTCTTGACCCAAGTAAATATTTCCTGGGACATATATATAAAATAAGTATCATGTTGTTATTCCCCCTACACACATTAAGTGTGTTATTTCCCCACACACACATTAAATGTGTTAAAAATTTAATGTGGGTAGAATGTATAATTTAATATACTACCCTAGAGCAGCAAAAAGATAAGCACAATATAACTATTGAAATACATGAGAGGTGATTTCAAATTTTTAAAATACTCATTTTTTGTTGAAACAGAAAAGACTAGCATTTATTTTTCCTAGTTTAATTTGATTTTTAGGGAAGTTAAGTTTGTGTTAATGATGAGAGGAATTAAGCATGACATTTTATGCCTTGACAGTGAAACTTAGAGCTTTTATTGTCTGGGTAAAGTTAATTTCTCATATATATCAGTAAAGTTCTTAAAGAAACACTAAGTATGTAATATTGAGAGAGCAGCAAGCAGCTCACAGAAGTACTGTCTTCTGATGCACCTCAGGACCCCTTGTAGGTGAGAAAAGAAAAATCACTGTTATTTTGGTAGCTAAGCACTGCTCTCCTCCTTAGGTGAGGTTCAAGGTGGCCCACCCACCCCATCCTGAATCCCATTCCTTGGCAATTAGCCCTAGTGTCCTTGGAACTTGAGAAATGTCATAGATCAATGCGATACCAAGATATTATCTAAACAGAGATTCTGATCTGGATTCATTCTGAATTTAAACTGTGTATATATTATATGATGTTTTGTAGAGCGATGACAGAGAAACAGATACAGCATCAGAAAGCAGTTACCACTTCAGCAGACACAAGAAGAGCCCAAGCTCTCTAACCAATCTTAGCAGCTCCTCTGGCATGACGTCCCTGTCTTCTGTATGTAAACAAAGGCTCCGTGTTAATATCTCACTGCTTCTGCGAACTCACTCTGCCACGCTCCTGCTACAGTACAATGGCCTCCTGTTGTATTTCCCAGATTCCAAGGGCATGAGTTTTTTCTCTCACCCACCATTAGCTGCTGGCTAGCTAAATTCTCCTTTTTTATTTTATTTTTAAGCATAAGGGTTCCTATCCATCATAAATCAATATGGTTTTAGGAAGGTAAGGACTACAAAAATAAACTTAAATTACCAACAAAATGAACCACTGAATTTCTCTGTGCAAAATGGGTAACTATGATCAAGTCTGCTTGTATCCGATATGCTTTTATATACCATTGGCAGGTATAGAATTGTATCTCCCTTTTTCTAACAAGCCTGTTGGGTGAAAGTACTGATTCACATAAAAGAATGGGAGAGGTGGTTCTTTGCCTTATAAAAGGAGTCTGAACAGTGTTTTCAAAGCAAAGCTCCCTAAGTGTGGTTACTTCACAAAGAACTTCTTTCATAAAGTGAGGTCGTTCTGTGTGCATGTAGCATGTGTATAGAAATATATATATATGTAAATATATCTGCATACACTAATCCAAATATTTCCCTGACATACATATACATGCACATGCACATATCTTGCCAGCTATGCTAAACAAATAATAAACCTGTGCTTAAATACTTAATAGCCTCACATTTCTCCGATTGCTTTTTTAGAATCTCTTTAAGTTGAATTTCTGCTGACAACAATCTAATGCATGGTCTTGGAAGGCTTTAAACTCCCTTCATCAATCATCCATTTTCTACCCTTCCTGACCTCTAAAAGCGTATGGCTCAGTAAGCATTTTCCTGGATTCGGCGGATGGGTAACATAGTAAAATTCCTTCTTAGTGCCTTGGAAATTTGATAGAGCAACGTGTCACTGTGATTTGTGTGCCTGGGGTTTCTCACATCCCCTTTCTCTAACATTTTAAATACTGAGCATGCCTGAAAATGGAACTCTGAAAACCCCTACCCTAAAATCACCCTGCTGTGAAATGAGCCAGCAGCATCTACGGAACTTTGCATTTCACTTCTCCCCTATGTCTCGTAGAGGCAATTTAAAAAAAAACAAAAAAACACTAGTTGTGTCGTGTATATCACGTCAGGTTATCTGTGTTGGTGTGTCTTTAGGCCATATCAAATTAGCTGCTTTTATATGCAAACTCGCGAAATAATGGCAAGCAAGGATTATAGCCATGGTCCCTGTGTTGAGTTCAAGCATGAGAGAGAGACAAACCCTGCATGTTTCCAATGCTCTCAGGTGAGCGGCAGTGTGATGAGCGTTTACAGTGGGGACTTCGGCAATCTGGAGGTGAAAGGAAGTATCCAGTTCGCAGTTGACTATGTGGACTCTTTGAAGGAGCTGCATATCTTTGTGGCCCAGTGTAAAGACTTGGCCGCCGCAGACATTAGAAAACAACGTTCAGACCCGTAAGTACATTTGGCGTCACGATTTCCTCCTAGGTCATCTTGTAGAAATCTGGAAGGAAAGAACAGAATTGAAGGGAGGGTATGACTCTGTTAAAAGCAATGTTTGAAAAGAGAAGTGGTAGCAGGGGGACTGCTGTCTTATTTACTTTATATATTCACATGCCAAACTTACTAAGTTGCAGAAATGTCAGAGAAGCGCAAAATGTTTCAAGTTGGAGGAACTTTTGAGATCATCTTGTCCAGGTCCTTCTTTTGACTGATAAGGAAACAAGGGCAAGAGAAGATAAGCAGCCTGTTTATGTAAATTCAGACAGTCAGTGGCAAAATGAGGAATGAGGGCTTGAACCTTGTCTCTTTCCAAGGCACTCCCAAAACTGCCTCCAGAATTAGGGACATGTGGGGCATACTTCATAATGTTCAGTGGTGCAGAATCAGTTAAGATTCTCAAAGGAGGTAGTTTCCATATTTAAATTATATTCTGCAGAAGCACTTTAGGGAGAATTACCAATTCATCTTTGAGATCATAGATTTAATTACATTTCAGTTTATTTGCAAAAGTGGAATGGTATTCCTCACTCATCTCTATACAGAAGTCTGATTCTTATTTTGCTAGCATAAGCCCAGTCCTTTTTCCTTTTATTACAAAAACAACTGAGCCCAATATCCTTTTTTTTTTTACATTGAATATGGCTTGAATAGGTGCATGCAAAGATTAATTTTATTTCAAAAAACAATCACAAAAATTTTTTAAAATAATTCTACAATGCCCTAGGCAGTTTGGCTCAGTGGATAGAGTATTGTCACAAAAATTTTTTTTAAATAATTCTACAATGTCCTAGGCAGTTTTGCTCAGTGGATAGAGCATCAGCCTGTGGACCAAAAGGGTCCTGGGTTTGATTTGGGTCAAGGGCACATACCTTGGTTGCAGGCTCCTCACCAGCTTGTGCCCTGGCGGGGTTCGTACAGGAGCCAACCAGTCGATGTGTTTCTTTCACATTGATGTTTTTCTGTCTTTCCCTCTCTCTTCCACTCTCCCTAAAAATCAATGGAAAAATATCCTTGGGTGAAGATTAACAAAATAATAATAATTGTGCAAGCACCAAAGCCTTTCTGAATTGAAAGGAAGCCAGTGAAATTAAGCATTGTTAGAGGTCTGTAGTATTCCCCTCCCACCTCTGACAGAAGGCCAAAGGAAAGGAACACATGACCAATTCCACTGAAATAACTTTAAACTTTTAAGCATAAAGGTGTTGGTGGAACATTTATTGCATATTGCTTTTCTCATTATGAAAGAATTCTTTCTGTCAATTTCCAATGCATTTTTAAAAGAGGTGGAAATATCACTTTTCATTTTCTCTGACCTTCTTGTCTGTTCATTTCTCTTTTTAGATATGTAAAGACTTACCTGTTACCAGACAAGGGCAAAATGGGCAAGAAGAAAACCCTTGTCGTGAAGAAAACTTTGAATCCTGTGTATAATGAGATACTGCGGGTATCTATAACTCTAGATTGGGAAAACCCTAAATGGTGGCCTATGTGTGTATCTAGTCATATCTTCTTGAATACTGTACCACTACAGATTAAGTCAGTTGCCCAGAGAGGAGAAGGAAAGGATCAACATTTTCCGAGAAACTGCTTTATATGAGATGATATGCCATGAATGTTGTACGCATTATCTCATTCACTCCCTACGTACCCCGCTAGGCGGGCACTATTATCTGTATCTCATAAGATGCGGCAAATGAAGCTTAGAGAAATAAAGTAACTTGCTCAAGGATATGCAACTGATGAAGCTGAGCATTGCAACCAAAATGATCTAAAAAGCATAATTCTGATCGTGGTATTTCTCTGCTTGAAAGCTTTTAGGATTCCCTTAGGGTCAGCTCCATCCTTACCATGCACACCAGTCCCTTCACAACCTGAGGTCCCGCCTCATCTTGTCACAGTCATAGTCTCTGTGCAGATACCCTGATTCCTTCCTGTTCTTTGGAAGAACTACATTTTCTCACACTGCTGGGACTCTGTGTTTGCTTAGGCTGGAATGTTCTTCACCACATTCTATGCCTAACTACCTCCTACAGCCTTGAATGCCTCTTCCTATGAGCAGCTGCCCTTACCCTGCAGGCCCCGCTGCTGTCTGCTGCCTTGGGTTCTTGTTTTGCCTTAGGTATCTTAACTCTCAGCACTTTACTGGTCTGTCCGCTTTCCCAGTAAATTGTAAGTTCCCCGAGGGCAGGGACCAGCTCTATGTTGTTTATAAACTGTGTGCCCTTGGGTAAATGACTTAGCCTGTCTGCACTTCACACCTGCAAAAGGGAGGCGGTAATATAGTACCGACCTACCTACCTACCTCAGTAGTGGTGAATGTTAACAGAGTTTATACACAGGAAGAGATGAGTATACATTAAACACTTAATAAATGTTGACTCCTAGTACAGTGTTTGAGAAAGTACTCAAATGTTTATTGGAAGGATAGATGGATGGGCATATGAATGGAAAGTATACCTGGCTCAAATACCATATTCTCTCCCTCCCCCGCCTCCCCCCCTCACCCCCTGCAAACTGCATCATGCTACCTTAATCATGAGTAATAGAAAATGTAAAACTACAAATAGAAATACCCCCCTTCTGAAAATTCTGCCCAACTATGTTGTTATCTTCTGAGAAAAGTAGAGTTAAATTAATTCTCAGTCATCCATGGGTGAGTTTTCTGTAGCAAGTTTTTAATTACAGTTTGACTATGCTATACCTCAGTCCCCTAGCTATTTCTAGGTCAGCTATTTCAGCCCTATACTCAGGAAAAGCCAGATAATTTAAATAGTAAACTCAGAGAATAACAAGTGTGCTACAACCAAAATGGGCATTCAAGCAGTACATCAGAAAGCCAAATAGAGATTATTTTTAGATTAGAAGTACTATTATCCCTTCCATGATTACATATAATCAAGGATTGACTGTCATTTTAGATGAAAAAGTTTTAGGATGCCAAATATTTTTCACTTGACCATATGAAGCAGGAAAAAACAAGTCTATCTTTTCTTGAGAAATTCCTTATCTTTGTGGGATATCAAGTGGAAGAGTTTGTGTGTATATAGAGATAGGTGGAATATGGGAACTCTCTACTTTTCACTGAGTTTTGCTGAGAATCTAAAACTGCTCTAAAAAATAAAGTCTATTTTAAAAATATACCTTGTCCTTAGGTAGGAAACAGACCATCAATTAAACTTCATTTTTAGAATGAGTTTGATTTATGTTATACCTAGTTAGAAATAAAAACATCCAGTAAAAAATTGAATAATTGGCTTTTGTTTCTAACCAGCTATGATATTTGAGCCATGGTTTGCTCTTTCCAAAGGGGCAAAGAAAATCAACTTTTGTGAAAGATGGATTTTAGCTCTTTGAAACAAGACACTTAGAATAGGATGACTTTGCAATATTCTTAAGACTTGAAACCTAACAGATGAGAAAATCCGATCTGCACAGATGACTTTTCTCTTCATCTCTATGTCATAACTTTGGCATAAAGTAATATCATTCACCCCTTTAATTTCCTTCTTTGAACTGCAGTATAAAATCGAAAAGCAAATCTTAAAGACACAGAAGCTGAACCTGTCTGTATGGCATCGGGATACATTTAAACGCAATAGTTTTCTTGGGGAAGTGGAACTTGATTTGGAAACTTGGGACTGGGACAACAAACAGAATAAACAATTGAAGTGGTACCCTCTGAAGCGGAAGGTAAGTTCAGCGTTTTTGGATTGGTTGGTTGTTTTGAGGCCTGGTATGTAGGAGAAAGGTCCTATAAATTTGAATTTTCATTCAGGATACTTATCCACTGTTTGGGATCATTTTCTCTTTCCACTCTGTCTCATATGTCTCTTATTCTCTTTTCTATATTTTCTTCCCCATGGTTTCCATGTATGCTTCAAGTTGGCTATTTCTTGCTAACCTATCTTATAGTTCCATAATTTTCTTATCTACTATGTCTAATCTGTGATACCCATCTACAAGTTTTCAATTATATATTTCAGACTTCTATTTTCATTTGATTCTTTTTTATAAGTGCCTCTTCTCTGCTAAAATGTTCCATCTTATCTTTGTAAATACGTTAATCAGAGTTATGTGACGTGTGTTTCTGAAAACTCCAATGTCTTAAACATTTGTGAGTCTCTTACTGAAATTTTTATTTTATTTTGGTCTCGTGGTCCTTTGTCCTTGTATGCCTATTCATTGGTTGTTGCGTGCTGGATATTGCATGAAAAGAATTCTAGGGATAACTTGGGAAGGTTTGCTTTTGCTTCTGACACACAGTGTAGGGACAGACTACCTTAATCTAATCTGGGAATGAACTGACACGAAGGTGGGGTTTCCGTTTTCCTGTAGTCTGATCTGGTTTTTGTTTGCCCATATTCTTAGGCTGTGGCCCTTCAGGAGTTCCAACTGCAGGCCTAGAAAATAGATCTCAAATTTTAGTATCCAATTCACCTGAAGAACTTATTAAAACACAGATTTCTGGCCTCTATTCTCAAGGTTTCTGATTCAGTAGGATCTGTGCCCAGGAATATGCATTTCCAACAAATTTCCAGCTGCTGCTGCTGAAGCTGGCCTGGGAATCACACTTTGGGAACCATTGGTCTTATTAGAGGCCATTCCTCCTTAGCAGGCCATGGATTTCAATTTTTGTCTCCCCAGCGCTTTGAGACTACTGAAAGCCCTTCTTAGCTTCTTAGTCTCTTTCTGCTAGGCTTTTTATTCTCTCAGCTTGGCACTTCTTAAAAATCAGCTAATGCCTCAAACTGGAAAGTAGAGAAAATGTCAGTCTCCAATATCTGATCCATTTGAGTCCTACCTTAATAATTCTTTAGTACCTTCAAGTAGATTTTATAATTGACTATTTTATTGTTTTCAGTATGAGGGTTGATGTGATCCCAACTAGTCCGTCATAACTGCAATTGATACATATAAACAATTCAGAGAAATCATTAGTTAGTATCTACATAAGAAAAGTTTCTTTTAAGAAATGCTTCCTAAATATTACATCAAAATCACATGAAGCACTTATTTCTGGTCCAAGACTTGCTGGATCTGAATTCCTCAGATGTCAAAAGCATTCATTTTTAACTAACGTATCTTAAGTTTCTGATGTATAGACATGTTTTGGAAATAAGACTCCAAAGGGCCATATTTTGAAAGTAAAACCATTTCTCATAGACTTGAAAATAATAGATATATATTTTAAAATTATTGTCCAGTCTTTGTTATTCTTACAGACATCTACTCATTTCGTCTAAAATAGTCAGGTTAATGCATCTTTGAACATGTCATATTTGGCTTTCTTCCAGCACCCACCTTCCCACACTCTTCTTATTCCTTCAGATAAAGAGAATACAATTAAGTTGTTTTAGGTGCTGGATGAAGGATTAACAAAATCTATGTGTTTTCATAAAAACCAAGGCATTTCACAGCACCTCACACATCTCCAAGAAAGCCATTCTAATTTCTCTACTATCTCTGAGACTAATGGCCTTGAAATGTGTTCTGGGTACCCTACAAAGTTTTCCAAGATGCACAGTAGAACTCTCCCAGATATAAAAAAAATAGTCTAGTGCTAGCTGGTTTGGCTCAGTGCATAGAGCGTCGGCCTGGGGACTGAAGGGTCCCAGGTTCGATTCCAGTCAAGGGCACATGCCCAGGCTGCGGGCTTGATCCCCATTAGGGAGCGTGCAGGAGGCAGCCAATCAATGAGTCTCTCTCATCATTGATGCTTCTATCTCTCTTTCTCTATTTCTATCTCTTTCTCTCTCCCACTTCCTCTCTGAAATCAATAAAAATATATTTTAAAAAATAAATAAAATAAATAAAAGCCATAGTCTAGCTCTGATGGGGAGGGAAATTTTAATCCAGGCACTCAGGAGTGATACGTTGTTCCAGAACTGGGGAAGATGAGGTCCTGTAGCAGAGTACCAACAAACAGAGTAAATAGTTTGTGTCTTACGTCTGCTGACATTCTTCTTTTTTCAGACAGCACCAGTTGCCCTTGAAGCAGAAAACAGAGGTAAAATGAAATTAGCTCTCCAGTACGTCCCAGAGCCAATTCCTGGTATGTAATGATTTTCTGTCCAGATTTATGCCCTTTCCTCATCCCCCAGGCTCCCAGGGTTTCTTTGGGTTTTATGCTATTTTCGAAGGTGAAGCCCTAAATAGATTTATTAACGTAGTAATCGTATAGACCAAATAAGTCAACTCACAGCTGTAAACTAGAAAATTCTCATTTTTTATTGTGATAAAAACACATAAAATGTACCATCTTAATCATTTTTTTAGTATGACATTAGTAGTGTTAAGTAGATTCACATTGTTGTGAAGCAAATCTCCAGAATGTCTTCATCTTGTACATATCTGAAACTCTATACCCATTGTCAACTGTTGGTCTTTGCGCCACTTCAGTGCCACAGGAATCCCCAGTTTGGGGTGCAGCAAAGAAGGAAACTTTATTCACTACAAAACAGTCAATTGTGATACAGCATGGCAGCACAGCAGTAGAAAAACTCTGGGGCCTCCGTGTTTAAGCTAAGCCAAGGAGAAAGTGTGCTCCCCAAGCCAGAGGGAACCTGGCTTATATGGACAGAAGTCCCCATCCCTGTTCCCTGATTGGTCTGTCCTCATGCAAATGAGGACTCCAAATCTTCATGGTTTGATTGGTCCAAAAGGCTCTGTCCTGATTGGTCAGAATAGAGCCACTCTGATTGGCTGGAATTGCATAACTGTGGTTGGATGGGGGAAACCCTCTACCTATTGGTTGAAATAGGATCCCAAGAAATCTTTTAAAGGGCTGGTTCAGATGGCAGGCAGGCAATTAAGTGCAGAGGCAGGTGGTTTAGCACAGAGGCTTCTCCATGAGGCGCAGTTTGTGTGAGAGGCCCTTTGGCTAGGCTCTGTTTTTTACTTGAGCCCAAATTGCCACCAAGAGCCCTCTTTAGTAGTTGTCTATTTTTTCTTCTCAGGGTTCACCTTATTGAACTACAAAACCCCTTAGCCCCTTTCCTCCCGATCCTGGTAGCCACCATTCTACTTTCTATTTCTCTCTCTCTCTCTTTTTTTAAATCAAGTTTTCCAGTCTTTATTTTAAATTGCTCCTCACTCTCCCAAAAGTTTGTATCTGCACAATGTGTATGACCTTTTCTGTATTCAGAATTTGGACCTATTGACAGTGTTGTGATAAGAATGGAACCTGAATGGGTTTTTTTCACAGGTGGGAATTGGAAAAATTCATATCAACCTTAAGAAATTAGAGCTCATTGGTCTTCCATTCTCAAGGTCTCCTCAGGAGAGAAAGCTTTTTCCTGAATTACTCACTGTAATCTTTCCTGAAGATTACTAATACTTGTTAAAGCCTCAAGTCTGCAGCCCCTTTAAGAAGCAAGAGATAGGCAGGAAATGAATGCCAGCCCCCCTTTCATTTCTCAAGCAAGTTCCCCTAGTTATTCTCCTTAGGAATCTGTATGAATGTTATGGCTGAAATAGGGATTGCACACGCAAAGTCTTTAAGTAACCAGGCAATGAAACTAGTGGGATGAAAGACATAATGGATGGTGAGGGCAGTGACTGAGCTAGAGAAAGGCATTCTAATTCAGATAAATAAAAAGAAAAAAGAATTGGAGGGAAAGCAAACATATCTTTAGGTCAAATGGCTGCCAAACCACTATCTTGTTACTTCTGGATCTTTCTGAAAAATTCTTTCTTATATAATTTGTATCCTATCATTTATGGTCAACATGCATTGAAATTGTACCAATCTCATTTCCCATTCTCTCCACTATCATTTCTTGGTGGTGGGAGCTGGGGGACTGTGTGTTGTGATGGGCTCCACCTTCCCTGAGTTTTTACTCATGTAGTCTCTCTTCTCTGTGTTGGCTAACCTTCTCCTCAACCTATCCAAGTCTTAGATGAAGTCCTATCTCCCCCATATAGCCCTTCCTGACTATATTCCCCCTCACTGATCACATTATGTCCTAGAACATTACAGTAATAATTTGACATTTCATTCCTTAGTACATTTTTATAGTCTTAATTGAGTTAGTCTTTCTTGTATGCCTTGTATATTCAATGCTATTCATATAATAGAGCTGACCACATAATAGATGCCTGGTTGGTTGACTGAAATTCCTTAGTCATCCGGAAAAATATGATAGTATTCCTCTGACCAGGTGCACCCAACCTGGACAACTTCAGACCAAACCAACTTCTCAGTAATCGCCTGTCCATAATATTCACTTTTATGTGTGTCTATATAATAGTCTTATAAAATGTTTAACTTTTTAAAAAAATACATATTTTTATTGATTTCAGAGAGGAAGGGAGAGGGAGAGATAGAAACATTAATGATGAGAGAGAATCATTGATCGGCTGCCTCCTGCACACCCCCTACTAGGGATCGAGCCCACAACCCAGGCATGTGCCCTGGACCGGAATCAAACCTGAGACCCTTCAGTCTGCAGGCCAACACTCTATCCACTGAGCCAAACCAGCTAGGGCAAATGTTAACTTTTTACACTCTACTTTTAACAAAAAGAATGACTCTCTCTTAGCTAGTACCTGTTTTGGTTGCTTTACAGAAATACGTTTAATATGTCGGCACCAATTGACATTGGTATCAGTGTTTGAAAGGTATGTGTGCATTTCACTGAGATATTTTGAATATCAGCACAAATGGATGATTCACATGCCTGATATCTATAACTGATCCTGTGGAGCCAGCAAAACCTGACAAGAATGATGTAATACTCTGTACTTGGAATAAATATAAATTATTTTCATAGAGCTGTCTGAGCTCAGCACAGCCAGACTATAAAAGCTATAATTAAGAATGTATAGCCCTGGCCGGTTTGGCTCAGTAGATAGAGTATCGGCCTGTGGACTGAAGTGTCCCAGGTTTGATTCCAGTCAAGGGCAAATGCCCAAGTTGCAGGCTCGATCCCCAGTAGGGGGTGTGCAGGAGGCACCCGATCAGTGATTCTGATATTTTTTTAAAAAAGAATGTATAGATTTAACCTATTAGGATCATATCATCAAATAATAGCTAGTATTATTTTTTATTTTTTTTATTTTTTACTTATGTATTGTTGACAGTATTACAGTATAGATTTAACCTATTAAGATCATATCATCAAATACTAGCTAGTATTTTTTTATTTTTATTAATTTTTTACTTATGTATTGTTGACAGTATTACAGAGGTCCCCCATTTTCCCCTTCCTTGACCCCTTCATCCAGCCCTACGCCACTCCAGGCCTTCCCCACACTATTGTCTGTGTCTGTGGGTTATGCATCTATGTTCTTTGGTTAATCTCTTCCTGTCCCCTCCACCTCCTTCCCCTCTGAGATCTGTCATTCTGTTCCATGCATCAGTGTGTCTGGACCTATTTTGTCTGTTAGTTTATTTTGTTCATTAGATTCCACATATAAGTGAGATCATGTGATATTGGTCTTTCTCTGGATTATTTCACTTAGCATAATCATCCATGCTGTTGCAGAGGGTCAGAGTTCCTTCTTTTTTAGCTGAATAGTATTCCATTGTGTAAATGTACCTTGGCTTTTTTTAGCCACTCATCTACTGATGGGCACTTGGGCTGTTTTCAGATCTTAGCTATTGTGAATAATGCTGCTATGATCATAGGAATGCATATATTCTTTCTGATTTCCTAAGATTCCAGCAACAGCAATCAGAAAAAATATATGCACCCCTATGTTCATAGCAGCATTATTTACAACTAGAGGCCTGGTGCACGAAATTTGTGCACGGGGGGAGGGTCCCTCAGCCTGGCCTCTACCCTCTCGCAATCCAGGACTGCTGGCTCCTAACCTCTCGTCTGCCTGTCTGATCGGCCCTAACTGCTCGCCTGCCTGCCTGATCACACCTAACCACTCTGCCTGCCTGATCTCCCCTAACCATCTCTGCCTGCCTGCCTCATCGCCCCTAACCACTTGCCTGCCTGCCTACCTGATTGCCCCTAACTACTCCCCTGCCAGCCTGATCAAAGCCTAACTGTTCCCCTGCTGACCTGATCGCCCCCAACAGCCCTCCCCTGCCAGGCTGGTCACCCAACTGCCCTCTCCTGCAGGCCTGGTACCCCACCACTGCCCTCCCCTGCCAGCCATCTTGCGGTGACATATGGGTGAAGGAATGCCTTGATCTACCAATGCTAAGGGGCAGCCATCTAAATTCTTTTGTAAAATGGTAATAGCATTGATAAGTCTGCCTTTGCAGTTCTACAGTAGCCCGGCCTTTGCTGGTTGATGTTAGTTCTCTATTTCTGTGATGCTGAAACTCATCATCCATAGTTTAAATGAAATAATTTGAGACAGTGACTCCATGAATTAGGGGAATCTGTGGTATAACCCCCCCACCCCAAGACTTCATATACTTTTAAAATCATAAAGATCAGAGGACATTATGTAAACATGAAACCGGAGACCACATACTCAGATATGTAATGTCTTCTAGGAGGCACATCTACTGGTGAGAACAATATTCAGTACGAAAGACTTTATGCGATTTCTAACAGTGGGATGTCACAGCCCTTGGCCCCTTAGAGAAGAACCTATTCTATGATCCATTTTCAAAAGGCCTTTGGCATCAGCCTGCAAATACCTGGAAAAGTATTTGCTAAGCAGAGCTGTACTAATAGCTCATAAGAATTTAAGATAATTTTGGTTCTTAAGTGGCAAACCTTTTTCTCTGTTACACATATAAATGCCTGGTATCTAAATAGTAGCTAAACAGATATTAATGTGTCATCCTATCTCCCTATGACTAATTTTTCCTATGTAGATTCTACCAGAAGTCCAGTTGTAACTATTTAATTTTATATGACATTATTTGTGATTTTCCCTCTAGATGTTCTTTTTTAACTTAAATTTTTTTGGGTAACATTAGTTCATAACATTATCTAAGTTTCAGGTGTACAGTTCTATAATACATCTTTTGTATAATGCACTGCGTGCTCCCCACCCAAAGTGTATTCTCCTTCTATCACCATATATTTGACCCCCTTTCTCCTCTTCATCCTCCCCCCGCCTGCCACCCACCTTCCCCTCTGATAACAACCATACTATTGTCTGTGATTATGATTTTGTTTTGCTTGTTTGTATGTTGCTTTCTGTTTTATATCCCACATATGGATGAAATTGTATGGTTCTTGTTCTTTCCCACCTGACTTATTTTTTTCTTAGTATTTTTATTGATTTCAGAGATGAAGGGGGGAGAGAGAGAGAGAAATATCAATAAGAAAGAATCATTGATTGGCTGCCTCCTGCATGCCCCACACTGGGGATCAAGCCTACAACCTGGGCATGTGCCCTGACTGGGAATCGAACCATGACTTCTGGTTCATAGATCAGTGCTCAACCACTGAGCCATGCCAGCCAGGCCCACCTGATTTATTTTACTTAGTATGATACACTCAAGGTCTATCCATGTTGTCACAAATGGCAATATTTCATCTTTTTTATTTTTTTATAGCTGAGTTGTATTTCATTGTATAAATGTATCACATCTTCTTTACCCGATCATCCATCAAAGGACACAGGTTGTTTCCATGTCTTGGTTATTGTGAACAATGCTGCAATGAACATAGGGGTATGACACCATACACAAAAATTAACTCAAAATGGCTTAAAGACCTGACTATGAGCCTAAAATAACAAAATACATCAAAGAAAACATTGGTACTAAACTCATGGACCTTGGTCTCAGAGGGGATTTTGTGAACTTGACCCCAAAGGCAAGGGAAGTAAAAGCAAAAATAAATGAATGGGACTACATCAAACCAAAAAGCTTCGGTACAGCAAAAGAAACCATCCACAAAACAGAAAGGCAACACATTCTTCATAAATGTCAGCTGGTAACATTTTTCAACTCAGGTCAGTCTCCTATTTTGAGACTAGTCTCAGACCTTCTTGCCTTTACCGGGGGCATGATAGGTTAAAAGTTAATTCAGCTGTTACCACAAATTAAATGTAAATGATTGCAAATATATAATTTATTTCCAAAATCAAATCTAACAAATGGGGGAGGTTTCTCTTCTTTTCCAATTCTGTACAAGACTAATTCCTTAGGCTATCCCAGATAATCGGGAATAGACTGTGCTTCCAAATTTCAAGGGAATCCTCAAACAATTGCTACATAGTAAGCACTTACTAAATGCAGGAACTGAGCTCAGTTGTTTGCTTAATGTGTAATTTTAATACTAACCTTACAGAGCAGGCGTTACCACTCCCGTCTTACAGATGAGGAAGCAAGTATCTGAAGGGTTAACTAACTTTCCCTGCAATACACAGCCAACACGTGGCAGAGTCAGGGTTCAAGGCAAGTCTGGTCCGCTCGAATGCTCAGGCTTTCCCGCATGATGGCTCCCACCATCAGTGCTGTTTCTCTACACTCTCCCCTTCCCTTCCTTCCACAAGTAGCTACGTTGAAGTGTATGGAAAGCACAAGTGTCCACTATTTCTTTAAAATGCTCTCACAATCATGTTTCCTTTGGTAGCATCATCCTGCCAGATACAAGCCGGAAAAGTCGCCAGAGGACAAGAGCTGTGGGGAAGACCACCAACCCTGTCTTCAACCACACCATGGTGTACGATGGGTTCAGGCCTGAAGATCTGACGGAAGCCTGCGTAGAGCTTACCGTCTGGGACCATTACAAATTAACCAACCAGTTTTTGGGAGGTCTTCGGATCGGCTTTGGAACCGGTAATATTTGATACTTTTTTAAATCTCCTGTGAGCCAAATGCTTCTGGAGATGCTAGCAGTGGTTCTCAATCTTCCTAATGCCATGACCCTTTAATACAGTTCCTCATGTTGTGGTGACCCCCAATTTCATTGTTACAAATTGAACATAATTAAAGCATAGTGATTAATCACAAAAACAACATGTAATTATATATGTGTTTTCCGATGGTCTTAGGTGACCCCTGTGAAAGGGTCGCAACCCACAGGTTGAGAACCGCTGCTAGAGGTTTGTTGCTTTGCTCCTTCCTAATGCCAACAGATATTTCCATTAAGTGTAATCCAGTGAGTGAGTGAAGGCGTGACAGCTGTGTGCTGCGGGCTCTGGATACGAAGATTAACAGGGTGCAGTGTCTCACCACACAGAGCTTACCTTATTGTGGGGGGAACAGAAGAGCTCTCGTCTCTACTCTTTCCTGAAAAAACATTATGGCCCTTCCTGGCTGAAAGTGTGCTTTGAATAATAATAGTAACTAACATTCATGGAGCACTGGTCACTGTACTGAGTGCTTTATTTGCATTATTTCACTTCATCCTAACAGCAATTTGATGAGTAGTTACTAATGTTATCCCCAAAACAGCCAGCTTTCCAAGAAATTAAGTAACAGAGTGAATAAGTGGCGGAGCTGAGATTCAAATTGAGTCTGCTCAACGCTACAGCTGTAGTCACGCTTCCTCAGAGCGTATCTCCTGTCACTTCTAACCCACGGTGGGAACCCTTCCTACCATTCCCCCATGCCTGTGACAGATTGTCATCTAGCTTTCAGATGACTGAGAAGAGAAACCATTACTCTGGGAATAGAGTGCTCATCTCAGATGGTTCAACAGTTCTTTCTTATAGTGAGTCCCAGGTCTGCCCTCCTGGTGACGTTAAAACTCTTCCTAGCTGACTTCCATTGGTGCTTATAATTAAAGAATGACTGCCTGGCTGGTGTGGCTCAGTGTTTGAGCATCAATCCATGAACAAGGAGGTCTTGGTTCAATTCCCCTGCAGGGCACATGGCCAGGTTGCTGGCCCTATTCCCAGTGGGGGGTGGAGTGGGAAGTT